AAAAAAAAAAAAAAAAAAAAAAGGAATTATAGTCGATGCAGGCAAAAGCAACTCATGAAATATTCTTATCAAAAGCAGTTGGATTAAGTACCTTGGAGCTGGAGCTATTCCAGTTAAGTCGAATTTCCCAAGTAGCCGGCAGTCCTTTGTGAGACTGCGTTCACCTTCAAAGACCTGGAGGTGAAAATTGTCAAGTCAGAAAAGCCATAAATAATTACTTAATTTTCTTCTTGGGTTTAGCCCAACACGTTCAGCTAATTAGGAAAATAGTCTGAAGTATTACCGAAATTGTGACTGTTGTCTGCTGATCCTGGTAAGTGGTGAAGACTTGAGATTTCTTAGTAGGAATAACGGTGTTTCTTGGGATCAACTTTGTCATCACTCCTCCAACGGTTTCAATACCAAGAGTCAGTGGAGCAACATCCAGTAGAAGAATATCTGGTTAAAAATTCAAAAGAAAATGTTAGTTTTTTGCCAAAGAAAACTCTCCAGTATCAAATGGCTGAAATAAGTCAGGACGAAGCAGTACCTTTGGTTTCATCACCTCCCTCTCCACTCAAGATTCCTCCTTGTACAGCTGCACCATAAGCAACTGCTTCGTCGGGGTTGACACCCTTGTTGGGCTCTTTGCCATCAAAATAATCTTTCAAAAGCTGTTGAACTTTAGGAATCCTGGTACTTCCACCAACCAAAACAATTTCGTCAATCTGGTTCTTTTCTAGTCCAGCATCCTCCATAGCCTTCTTAACAGGACCCATTGTCTTCCTGAATAAATCGTTGTTCAGCTCCTCAAAACGAGCCCGAGTAAGTGGTTCAGAGAAATCTACACCATCGAAGAGAGATTCAATCTCAACCCTGACTTGATGCTGACTGCTCAGTGCTCTCTTGGCACGCTCGGCTTCTCTCCTGAGCTTTCCCAAAGCCCTGTTATCCTTGCTGATGTCCTTTCCATGCTTCTTCTTTATCAATTTAATGAAGTACTCCATAATTCTCTGGTCAAAATCCTCTCCTGCAAGAAACAATAGATATATAATGTAACTTGTGAATGAGACTGAGCGGAAGATGAAAGTTATTTAACTCTTTTTAAAACTTTAAAATTCCTCGGCTGGCACTATCGTTTTCAAACTAATTTGTTAGTAAAAGAAAAGAATCTAGCATTATTTCCCAAGAGATAGAGAATGTAGAGGGAAGGGGGAATGTATAAAGGAATTAATCAATAGGTTATTACCTCCTAGATGAGTGTCTCCATTTGTGGCAAGAACCTCAAAAACACCGTTGTCAATAGTGAGGATACTAACATCAAATGTACCACCACCAAGGTCAAAGACCAGGATGTTCTTTTCACCACCTTTCTTATCTAATCCATAGGCAATGGCAGCTGCAGTTGGTTCGTTAATGATTCTTGCCACGTTCAAACCAGCAATAACACCGGCATCCTTAGTGGCCTGCCTCTGGGCATCATTGAAGTATGCTGCAGATACAAAAAAAAGATAGACATAATAAGCTCAGCAATTGTATGACACCAAAATTTGGAAGAAGATACAAACTATCTGAAATAGGAAACTTTTGATGATACCTGGAACTGTGACAACTGCATCCTTGATTTTCTTTCCAAGGTAAGCTTCTGCTGTTTCTTTCATCTTGGTCAGAATCATAGCACTGATCTCCTCAGGACTGAAGACCTTAGTCTCCCCATCTTTGATCTTAACTTGGATATATGGTTTCCCATCCTTGTTAACAATCTCATATGGAACAAGTTTCTTGTCCCTTTGTACTTCTTTGTCATCAAACCTATCAACAGAGTCAAGAGTCATTATCAAAACTATCTCAAGCAGACTTCCACAGGAAATAAAATACTAAGAACACAATGTCTTACTTTCTCCCGATAAGTCTTTTGACGTCAAATATGGTCCTCTCAGGATTAACAGCAGCCTGATTTTTAGCTGCTTCACCAATCAGCCTCTCACCATCAGTGAAGGCTACCCATGAAGGGGTGATACGGTTACCTTGGTCGTTTGCTATGATTTCAACATGTCCGTTCTTGTAGACACCAACACATGAGTAAGTTGTTCCAAGATCTATACCAATAACTGTTCCTAACTTGGTAGCTTCTTCTTTAGCTATAGAAAATGCGAACAAGCTCCCTGTTGATGACAAACCCAAAACAACCAGATTAGTGCATTGTAAATGACTGTGTAGGTGTACAATTATTACTTTTTGAATTGGCAAAACATTCGGAAAAGGAAAAGAATTGGCAGAGATCAAACAACTTCATGGACATTGCTGGGACCAAAAATCGATGTACAATTAAAAATTGTTTAACTACTTCAATATATTTTATTGTTCACCTAGTTGCTACGTTCTCTATTCTTTGTATATCTAACGTAGCATTGTTAGTATTACGATATAATTTATCATTACATAATTGTTCAAGTATATCCCTGCTATTTACACAATAACAATTTAAATGATTAACCCTATGGCACTACTACAAGCGCTAAACAAGTTACAATTGCCCAAAAAGTGGAAGAGAACCAGAACTGAAAATTGAAAATCTCTTAAATCTGGATGGCTTTATAGGAAAAAATATAAATAAATAACTAAACAGGTAGCAGATCTGAGAACCGAAGTTAGAGAAGTAAATCAGTATAATGTTGTGTCAATCGGTTCAATTCTCCTCATTTAATCGCTCAAAAACATGTTAAACACAGCAATTTTTTTCGTAGCAAGCTCAAATTTAAACTGAACATTCTATGAAAATAAGAATAAAAAAGGAAAAGAGATGCTTACCGAACAGGACGATTGCGAAAACGATCAAGGATGCGCGTCTCTTCCACGCACCAGCCATAGCTCGTAGGTCCACAAGGACTCCTCTTTCTACAAAACACTGCCTCTGAACAATATCTTCGTCGTTGAATCGTTTCTCTTCTCCTCTCTCTCTGATCAAAGAAACAGACAGTTTTGGATTTTCAGGTTCAGCAATTGAAGGCCCGGCTATATATAGTTGCGAGTCTCTGTCTCTGCAACCTTCTTTTACGGAATTAGAACTTTAAAGGAAGGTTGCTCTTCCTTTTGAATTTATGAACGTGTCACGGCTGATGACGTGGACCAATCAGATATAAGAAAAGTGGGCATAGTAGCCAATGAGTTGCTGCCATTTCATCATGCACGTACTTGGAGCTGATTTTGTTCATGCATGTCATATTTGATGACGTGGTCCAATCATAATTGAGAAGCATAATGTGAGAGCCAATCAGATTAGTTTTAGAGTTGGATAGATCTGAACCGTTCGCTTGGTATATCGAACGGGTGATGATTGATTATATGAGAGGTGTATTTGGCAGACGATTAAGGGCTTCACACGTAAAAACTTCCACGTGTTCAGAGATTACTAGAAGGTTCATGAAACTTTTATTTTTAAATTTTTCATTTATGTGTTAGATCTAATAAGTTTCTGTTATATATATATTGAAAATAATCTAGCTCTTGAACCCGTCCTAGGCGTTTACTCAACTCTCATGAAAAATATGTAATTCACTCAATGTATATATTAATTTATTGTAATTAAGTAATAAAATAAAAATATAATTATTTATATTGATTAATCATAATTAAATGATAAGACTTATTAATAACCAAATCTAGTTCTTTTGTTTTTAATTTCAAACTTTGACCTTCAGATATCCAAAAGATGGTTTTATTTGTTCTAGTTAAAAAGCGCAGAGCTTGGAATACCCGACAAATTAAAGCAATTGGTCGCTTTATAGGAATAATGAAGAACTGCAATTACAGTGTTACACAATCAATCTAATGTGACACTAGAGCTAGTATGATGTGTAGCCATCTCTCATTGCTGAAATGCAAATGATGATGTTGGTTGGAGCAAGTAATATGAAATTAAAATTAAAATAGTAATATTAAGGAAAAATTGAGCTAAGTCGGTTGGAATTTAGTGATGGGATTGCAGTATCTATTAAATTTTGGTTCGTGAATATGTACGCAAATACTCGATCTCATGCTATATGAACTAATGTTTTTATTTCTCAGATTGGAAGAATAAACATATTATATTAAATTATTAATTAATGTTACTTGTGCAAGGAAGAGCTCTCGTATGCTAAATTTATAAACTTATTTGATAAGAGAGGCAAGTCTTTTACAATAAGAAGTCTTTGAACAGCTTGACACGTGATTTACCTTTTAAATTTGGGCTTTGAACTCTTTGGATAACAATGATATTGGAGATGGTAAACTGATCACGTTAAATGGATACAAGACACTTTTTCAAAGTCTGATAATAATAAGTATACTAACCAAAGATGCTTTACAACGATAAATTCTAACACATGGTTATATGACTCAAGTGCCATGGAATCAATGACCTGTTGAAGGTTACTATGTTGATAAATTTATCAATCACACATGGAACAAATGTAGGAAATTTGTTACTAATTTATTTGATCTTTTTTTTTATAATGTACTAGATTATACTCATCTTGATTTTTTATTTTTTTATCAGTACAGATTATTCCGTCGAATAGCATATGTATTGAATAATTTCACTGGTTAATTTGTTTGTTTCGCTACATCATCCTTTAGTCTCTTGTATAATTTCGACACAACAATTTCTGGAAGCTTCTTAACTAGTACTGGTTTTAGTACACATAAACAACGTCAAATTATGATTTGAATTATTTGAACTATGTGCAAATAACATTAAATTAAACCTTCTATATAGAAATTATAGATAATTATCAGATATTAATGAAGAAGCAGGATATGAAATCATTTTTTATATCTCATAGTGGATAACATGTTATCTTTTTCTAGACCGTAATAATCCAACCCCTTGATTTTGGCACTTTGTATTTTATTTTACGAACAATATTAAAGAATACTAAACATATAACGTTGTGATCTGTCTTGTTTGAGCACAATAAATCATATTATTTTAGCCAAATTCTTACTACCGCTTTGTTTTTCATCTCAAGTTCAAATAAGTCTTATCCTTCTATATTTTTAGACATAAATTTTTTTCTCTTTTTGTTCTTTGCCTATAATTATTGCATTATTTGTTACTTAATATTGTTATATTGTAATGTGATCTTTTATTAGCTTATAAATTGACGTAATGTCTTTCTTATGACCCTATTAATAATCATCAATAAATATAATTTTTTTTATGCTTAAAATTTAATGTATTCTTACACTATTATTCTCTTACTCGGAACTCTTTCATCATTCAAATTTATCAATAATATTTTCGAGTATTATTTAATAATTCAATTCATATATTTTAAGTAAATTTAAAATATAAGTGTCATCGCACCATCAATATTTTCCTCTTTATACATCTCTTCCCTATTAAGAAATTTTAATTAGCTTTTTACACAAATTTTTTTGGCCGATACTCAAATAATATCACGTTTTTATTTAAAAATATAATTTTTAATTAGTCTAAAAAGTAATACATAAGTTCTTTTATTGCTTCAAATCTATTAAAAATTTTTATAATTATTTTTTGTATTACCTGCAATTAAATCTTCTCTCTCTTTTAGTTTCAAAATAAAAATTTAGCTTTTACTTTTCATTAATAAAATTACCTACATGAGATATTTATTTAGTGTATTAAAATTTTAACTTGGTATCAAATTTTTATTTTTATTTTTATTTTTATTTTTATTTTTATTTTTATTTTTATTTTTCTATCAAAACTTGAATTTTGTGATCATCTCCATATTTTGAGCATTCTCATTATAACTTTAAGAACTTTCTAATCTCAAGTTCAAATAGTCTTTTCCTTTGTTTTTCTTACTTTTGCTATAATGTTATCTAATATGTAATATTATCAAGTTTTCATGTAATATTTTTATTAAATTTACACTTTATCTAAAATTCTTGTCCACTACTATTTTTTAATATAATATAGATAGATATGTAACTATTTCATATTAAATTAATATTTATTTTATTTTAAACTATTGCTTAAAAATTTTAAATTATGTAAATTTATGAATAATATTTTTAAGTATTGGATACTTGCTTTATTTTATTTTCTAAAGTAATTCTTAGTATAAATATTGTCATATTATTTCTAATTTATTTTTATTATTTAATATTTTAAATTTTTTCTTTTCTCTATTAGACTTTAGTTATGTGGCCTTATCCACATGCATGTCATTTCTTATCATACTTAAAAAAAAAATTCACATCTCAAATTTAAATAAGTTTAACCTTCTTTTTTGTATGATGAGTTTTTTGATTTTTTTTATATTTGTTCCTTGATTTTGCTATTATATTGTTCAATACTTAATTTTATTACATTATCATGTGGCTTTTCATTAGCTTGTCTGAATTTAATATCTATTTTTACCATGTTAAGATTTGTTCTTATTAAGTTTAAAATTTTTATTATATAAAAAATATTTATTACGTATAAAATATTCGTTTGCTCGATATATCAATACTAATATGACTTTATTATTCTTGTTATTAAAATAACTTTTACTGATTATTTAATTTTTCTCTTATTGTATAAATAAATTGTATATTTTATGTAAGATCTTATCGCTGCTTGAATTTTTTTATTTTTAAAGTCATTAAAATTTTAATATCTTAAGTATATTTTAGGTTTTTCTTTAGTATTGTAACTTACTCCAACGTATAGTAGTCATGGGTTATCTCAGTTTATGTTTTTCTATATTATTTTAATTTTTTACCTTCATATTTCTAGTTAATATAGAAGAAAATCTTTGAGCGGATCAATATATAAATATAGATATACATATAAATATAAATATAGATATTTAGATTAGATTTCTATAAGATCTATTTAGATTATGTATAAGATTTATTTAATTCAACTACTTCTATTAATTATGTTTTCATTTATAATTTTTAATTATTATTATTGTCCTAAAATTATCAAGTGGCTTCATTTTAGCTTGTCACTTGGCTTAACCACATGCTTCACTATCCTCCTTTTAATATAATATAGATAGATAAGTTTTTCTAATTAATACTTCATCTCTCATGTGTCAACAGATAAATACAAATTACGAAAGTATATTGCTTTATTAACGTGTTCCATGTAGGTCTTGTTTACCCACAAACGATACAGTTAAATTTGTTACGTGGTTTATAGACAAGCGAACTGATTTGATCTCATAATGATAAAGAAATAAGATTAAAAATAAGACTTAGCAATTTAAATTGAAGAAGATGACAAATCTGGCTCCGAGCGCAAAGTCCCCGAGGTCAAAAATGAAAGCAACGTAAAAGAGCAAATAAAGTTATTTAATTGAGAGCGAAGTGAAATATAGCATATGTTTTGCCAAGAATTTTCATGTCCTACAATATTTGTAAAGCCTACTATTTATAGCAACACCTAGGGAAACAAGATCCTAGGATCAAACCCCACTTAAATGACAATAAAAGAGTCATTGATGAATATGTAATGGCATGCTACGATGCAAATATTCATTGCAACGGTTGCTCATTTAATTTAGAGAATATTCTCCATTGAATGTTATCCAATGGCAAATACTCGATCTGCTCTTGTTGACCATGCTCCCTTCGAGATTTACCCGATATCAATTGCAGTTGTTGTTCCCGGTACTGATCGTTACTTGACTCGCCTTTTACCTGTCTTCGATTCCACGTGTCACGCTATCATTCAACCAATTATTATAAATCAATTTTACCTTATAATGATAGTCTCCCTGCTTTCCAGTGTCATCGGGAAGTTGGTAAAGATCCCTTTCTTGCCGAAAAAGTCCCTGAACAGTTCCTGACGTTTGAAAAGCCACACGTCTTCTCATATTTTTACCCCGAATACGTGTTGCCCCATGATTCAATAAATATTTTTTCCGATTTTCAAGGTAATCAGGACCACGATTTTTGTCGTCTATATTTTCACTTCTACTTATGATTTTACTTATTTACTTACAAAATATTCATAACTCTTTCTTTTTCTATGTACTCATTCTTCATATGCTAAGAGAATTTTTATCTTCTCTAACTCTCT